TTTTTTTTGACATTTGAAACAAATCAAATCAAGATGTACTGTGACTGTACAGAAGCTAAACTTTGCTTGTTTTGAGAGAAGTTCCTCTTTCACACACTTGTTGTTCTAAGGATCATCAGATATAAAACCCAGCTACAGGACGACTTTTTCTTTTTGCAACCTTACAATGAATCCTGTGATCTCTCATGAAACATGACTGTCCTGCAAATAGATAAAAATGTCCAATCCCTAACTATAAATAACTTGGTATGTTATCAACATAAGTGATGAAAGTAGATCAAAAGTGACAATTATGCACTTGAAAATGTGTGTTTTCTTATATTTAGTACCCTTGAATGTACATGTTGCACAAGAGTGAGCTGAATATCAGATGAGCTGATACATATATCAGTGACTATGAGACTGTGTGATGTCAGTGCGATAACAAGATGAACATAATGACAACAGTGCACTTTAAAAATAGCAATTTTTTATTTACAAATATTTCAGAGTCTTAAATACTGAGGGATAACATGAAATTTGCTAATAACGATACATTTGAAATGCTACAATAAACATCTGTATTTGAAATGTTGAAAAAAAAAACTTAAGGCTCTTTCAACGTGTCTTATGAAATAAAAAAATAACTCATAACATTCACAACCATCCATAATTAAGATATTACCAGCAGTAAATCTTATGATGTTTTACTAAAAAACATCATAAAACTAAACATCACGTGGCCAACAACAGTCAATTCATAATATGTGCAACACTTCTGTTCATATTCTCCACCAGTGTTCACTACAATGCTCAGTGTATCACCCATTAAGAGGGAATCAATAATATATCACAACCTGAGAAGTGATGAACAATTACAAGTGTATCATAAATACATTATTGCATTTAGTTTTGCATATAGATACAAATTAAACTTAAATACACTAAAATCGTGTTCCTTTAGTGGCCTCCTTTGTGTCCTCATCTTTAGACATGGCTGGGTTATCGTACATCTCCAGACTTGGCTTCCTGCTCGTCTCAATCGCTTCCTCCTCCTCCTTTTTCTTGCAGCACTTGCAGCATTTGCACCAGCAGCAGCAGTGTTTGCAACAAAAGCTTGAAGCTGAGGTAATGATGCTATCCCACGGGGCCATCGAATGCAGGGGCCGGGGTAAAAAGTCCCAGGTACGGAGGAACTTGGGCAAGAAGCGTCGGCAGCGAGATTGCATCACATTGATAACGATCACAAAGATAATTAAAGCAACGAAAGGCACACCGATGCCAACCAGTACTTTCCAGCCAGCCATTGACAGACCAAAGACAGTCAGGGGGAAAACCAAGAAGACCAAAATCAGGTAGATGATAGCAAACCAGCGATATTTGGCAGTTTTGTTCCCTAGCCCTCTTGCCAACCTGATGGGCAACCGCATGAAAGGGATCGGGTACCACAGTACAATGCCAAAGATGTTGAAGAAGAAATGGCAAAGTGCAATCTAGAAAAAAGCATAGAAAGATTGGATTTAAACAA